CGCACACGCACACGCACACGCACGCGAAGGTCGCAACTTCACTCCGCACTTAGTTCAGGCCTGCAGGTCCGTCAACAGATCCCCCGGCACGCTCGCCTGTCAGGGGTCACGTTCAAGTCAGCAAAGATTCGGCTTTTGGGGTCCCGGGACTCAAATGTGACCCCGGAACAATTTCCGTGCTCGACATGCTTTTCAACGGGCCATATCACGCCTTGACGCTCAGTGGGGCCAGAGAAGCCGTCCGATTTCCTGATGAAGTCGCTTCCTCGAGGCAGTTTATCGTCGCCTTTCTCATGCACTTGCAAGCCTAGCATGTACATTGCACCTGGCATGAACGACTAACTTAACTAGGCCCTGGCCACGACGACCCGAGTCCGTTCCACCACAAACAATTCGCAACAAAGCATGTTCTGCTGTCTGGTTGTCAGAAACTGGCAACTACAGAATCCAAGATGCCCATTCGTGGCCACAACCGCCTGTGCGCACTTGCAGCGTCCACCGGCAACAGGCGGCCCACACACACGCACAAGCACTAACACACACACACACACCGACACCGTCAAATTGTCTTTTCACGAACTTGAATCCATTTCAATGTTGACTTCCGGCACAAGTAACGCTCACCGACGGAATGCATCTGAGAAGCCTGTCAAGTATTCAACCTCAGACGAACCATCACTAATCGCCGGATCTCGAATCCTCACTCTTCCTCCACCCTGAGACAAACTGAGAGCTGCACATTCCCTGCGGCTGGAATGACCTGATAGATGACAGACACGTACGGACGTTCTGGACATGTATAGTTACTATATCAACAAGGCTGGACCCTAGTGATCTTTCCTGCCTCCACAAGATCGCTCGGCTGGCAACCAAGAGCCACAACCACATCCACCACCAGAGCGCCAAGGACCCAAAAGCTCTGGAGACCCATCCCTCGAGACACGGATGATGAAGCGTAACCTGTAAATGTTGTTTGCAGGATCTCGCATCGAATGCTGAATGAACAAGCATAATTAACATCTGATTGGACTGCGCGGAACCACACTGTCTGCCGTGTAATTAAAACTGCTTACAAGCCGAAAGATACTTACCCGCAACGGACGAAGACCTCGATTTGCCACGTAACGTGATCAGACAACAGATTGACATTTGCCCAAACAAATCACCACCGATTCAGTGAACCAGGTTCACTGGGGGTTTTTGGGCGGTTTTAAAACGGGCAGGTACTCTTCTCTCTTTGCTCGACTGGTCCTTGCTTCAAGCCCAAAACTCTCAAGCCCAAATCCTTGAGCCCTAAGACAGCATGCCAAAAGATGTGCAGTGAGCACTTTTTCGTTGGGAGAGAGGGTTCAGCATCTGTTTGCGACGCATGTGCCATCTGTTTGTTTTAAGATCTCTTGCGTGGAGCTTATTTGAGCTCCTTCAGATGAAGGACTGGACACACCAGGCTTTTGTGAGGAACAACGGTTGCTGCTCGCAAAAACATCGTGACAACACAGTGCCGCCGCCGGCACCTTGAAGCCCAGCTGCTTAAAATGCAGGGCTTGGTGCTGAACCTCTGGAGTAAGGCATCCCATGAAACTTGACGATACTGATGTTGCTCCCCACCAAGCAATGTAACTTGTAGTCGTAGTTGCCCTGTAAGAACGTTACAACTTCCTAAGGCAGGCACTCGCCGATCTTTTGGCTTCATGCGGCAAAGTTGGCGTGATCTATGCTCCAGAGACACACGCACATTCAATGGCTGGCAGGATCAAGACGAACAGTGATGAGTAATTACTTAGCTTCGGTACAAAAGTCTTATGACTCATTTTGAGCCAAACATACAGAGCTCGTCGGACTGAGAGATCGATCCCGTGCTCGGTTGGCAATGCCTCTCCGAGCACGTTCACACACTGTTACAGACATCATCTGCACAGCTCATTTGGCGACACCACGAATTGCACACGGCATCGAGGTCTGTTCGCACTCCCCATAAGATAGACCTTCGGTCTTGACACGTGAGATGCAACGATTATTGGCAATCGGACTCGAAGATTGTGGATTCTTTCCGCTCACTACGCTCACTCCGACTTATTTGTTTCCAGCTCTAATTACTCACTTTTCGAATCAGCTTTCTGTGGACGATTTACACCGCCCCCCAATCTGCGACGGGGTCAACCAGCTCAGCCACAGCATTCCTGGCTTCTGGCAAATCAGCTCTCACATCGGCGATCCAAGCTTGGCTTAAATGGGCGGCCGACAGCGACCTAGCCAAAAAAAAATAATTCAGTCACATTAGCTTCAGTCGCCCGTCTCGCATGTGGCCAGCCTTCTTGCCAAGACTCGCGAGGGTTCTCACCGAAAGAGTGCACAGGCCTGAGCACACCCCCTGAACTCACGGTGATTGAATGGAGCACCCAGCAAAGCCTCCAGACCCACTACCAGCCACACTAAGCTGTCCGAGCACGAGACTAAGACTTTCAGCTGCTTTCTGTTGCGTTCGGGCAAACATCGGCTGCACCAAGCATCCGGAAACTGTCTTCTCAAAAAAATGCGGGGCATGACCTCTCCGGTGGTTGAATTATTAACAAGAAAAGAACCTTTGCCGCGCGCGCTGCGCCTCTCTCTTGTGCAGGTGCCCTTTCGCTCCACGGAAGATCGTCCACGAGGAACCTGATTCAAAAACGCAAG